CTGTATGAATCAATTATTAAACCAATATACTGTATGACACAATTAATAAACCCATATACTGTATGACACATTTAATAAACCCATATACTGTATGACATAATTAAAACCAACATACTGTATGACATTTCTCAGTGACTTCTTTTTACGTTAGAGAATACAAGAGGATACGCAAAGACTGACTAATACAGTGAATCGAACTTTCAATCTGTGATGAGAAATTAATCACCAGATAGGATTTCGATTGGAAAGAAAGTACTAGAGCAAAGTATAAGACTTTCTAAAATAATGGTCCTTGAATTTAGTTCAGGTTGTCAACTTTTTTAATCGTTCCACATTTGGCACCGTACTTATTACAAATCCAGAACTCTGCACACTGTAATCTTTGTTACAACACCCTCCTCATCTTCTTTCTCCGCATACAAATACACCCTCACGTTTAAAAGTAGAAATCTGTTGATAATTAACGACGTGTTCTGCTTTTTTAATCGTTCCACATTTGGCACCGTACTTATTACAAATACAGAACTCTGCACACTGTAATCTTTGTTACAACACCCTCCTCATCTTCTTTCTCCGCATACAAATACACCCTCACGTTTAAAAGTAGAAATCTGTTGATAATTAACGACGTGTTCTGCTTCGCAAGAGGCAATAGGATTCCTCTTATCCTCTACTACGTCACAAACTTCTTGAAACAGATCATCAACAATGTATTAACCACTTACAGCATTATTTGAGAATGATTCATCACACAGGCCAGAGATTCGTGAATTCCGTGGTTCTGAATTTACTTATATAAATTCCTAACTGAAGTGTTACACAACTTTCTACGTAATACGAAACAATTTATTATAACGATCATGATCATCGCCTTTCTTTCTTTTTACCGTTGGCAGTAATTTTATTCATAATAAAAGCTAAAAACGTTTATTTCTGTTAATGTCACAGTTAAGTGTGACTATCGGCAATTTTCCCTTAAGTGTTTTTAAAACTATTTAATTTTCTTGTCTACGTCATATAATTCTCAGAAAGACATTCCTCATCAAGGTAAACTAATGAATAACGAATATTGAAGAGAAGGAAATTACTTGTGGAGAATACTTTTCAGAATATAAGAATGACTTAAAACGTCTGAGAAAGATGCGAATTTAAACAAGTGTGAATGAGCGTAAGATGAACAAAGATAATTACAAGTACAGTGCAAGAAGATGCTTGTTCAGAATGATTCAGAGGACCCTGAAAGTGTCTCCTCATGATAGAAGCTAATGCTTAAGTGTAAGATGACAAGACATCTCTGTGACAAGGATAAAAATTTTCTCTTCGTTGAAACGACTATGACTACACCTATAATGTCTTTATATATTTTTATCTGTCGTTGGGCTAATGTGGAGACAGAAGTACAAATTATATAGTGACTGTATGGTGTGGAGACAGAAGTACAAATTATATAGTCACCGTATGGCGTGGAGACAGAAGTACAAATTATATAGTCACTGTATGGCGTGGAGACAGAAGTACAAATTATATAGTCACTGTATGGTGTGGAGACAGAAGTACAAATTATATAGTCACTGTATGGTGTGGAGACAGAAGTACAAATTATATAGTCACCGTATGGCGTGGAGACAGAAGTACAAATTATATAGTCACTGTATGGCGTGGAGACAGAAGTACAAATTATATAGTCACTGTATGGTGTGGAGACAGAAGTGAATATTAGATATTGGTTGTATGGTGTGCAGACAGAAGTATAATTAGATGTTGATTGTAGAGTATGGATACAGATTGTTTGTTTGTTAGTTGTGAATTTCGCGCAAAACTACACGAGGGCTATCTACGCTAGCCGTCCCTAATTTAGCAGTGTACGACTAGAGGGAAGGCAGTTAGTCATCACCACCCACCGCCAACTCTTGGGCTACTCTTTACCAATGAATAATAGGATTGACCGTCACATTATAACACACCCCACGGCTGAAAGGGCAAGCATGTTTGATGGGACGGAGGATTAGAACCCGCGACCCTCACATGGCTACAGAAGTACGAATTAGACATTGATTGTATGGTGTAGAGACAGAAGTACAAATTATACACTGACTGTATGATGTGGAGACAGAAGTACAAATTATACACTGACTGTATGGCGTGGAAACAGAAGTACAAATTAGATAGCACTGGAGAAGGTAGTGAAATAAATTATAAGGGTGTCACAAAATGAAGATTGGAGAAGGTATTAAGTGAGAAAATGAGGGGTTCAAGAGAAGAAAATTGGAGAAGAAACAGCGAAAAACAATAATGGATTTACAAAAACGAAAAAATAAAGAACTGAAGGGATCAACAAAGTAGAACACAGTGCTAATCGAGCAGAAGAAAAGTGTCTAAACACAAGTAGAACACAGTACTAGACGAGCAGAAGAAAAGTGTCTAAACACAAGTTGAACACAGTACTAGATGAGCAGAAGAAAAGTGTCTAAATACAAATAGAACATAGTACTAGAAGAGCAGAAGGAAAGTGTCTAAACACAAGTAGAACACAGTACTAGACGAGCAGAAGAAAAGTATCTAAACCCAAACACTTCTGCATAATAGATATTGAAAGTGACATTGAATATTAGTACACTTATGGTGTTGGTGCGTAAAGTACTGAGAAATTATCCGTATATGATTATTACTGATATAGGTTTGTAATGTTAGGGTCATAAAGGGCGACACCCCGTTCATCAATACATAAAATTAAAAATATGGCAGGGAGATGAAATATCGCTGTCATTCATATGTGACTTTAAGATATATACAAGTTTCTTTAGAATTATATTTTAGGCTTTTAAGACTTGTATCTAACGCGTATAACATATTGAAAGATTTTGATTCTACAATTATTAATTATTATTAATATTGAACATAAAATTAAAATATCCGATTAGTCAGTTTGGTTTTGCTGTGTTGGGGTCGTTATAATGTTACAGCTAATCTCAGTATTCGTTGGTGAAATAGCAGGCCAAAAGTTGGCGGTAGGTAGTAATGACTTCTTCCTAGTCTCTCACTTCAAAATTAGGGAAGACTCACGTACCTAGCCTTCGAGTAGCTTTGGGCAAAATCCAACAAACAAGCAAACAAATCACGCTACATTTTATCCTCTCTATAAACATGTTATTGTTTTGTATCATACTCAAAAACTAGAGAAATCTTATTGCAAAAAAACACAGATATCGTATTTCAAAGACCATCAAAATCAGGCAGGGGTTTGTCTGCAAGTAGTAATATAATTATCTACAAACTGATGTGGAATTCCGCTAAAGCTAACATGGTAAACATCGTCAGGGTTTGTTATAACTGAAAGTTAGCCCTTCAATAATCTTGAGGTTGACTATTGGCTGTCCTCTCTGGCTAATAGTTCAAAATTAGGGACGGCTATACCTGTACTCTAAGAGTCTTTAAAGTAGCCGTTTAGCCCACGCAGGTATATGGTGTCATTCAAGTTGAAAATTATAATTCCATAACTGATATAAAATGTTTACTTACAGTGCATATTAAAACATGCTTGGATTCGTGGAATACAGTTAACAATATTCACATAAAAATCGGCGTTTAAAAATTATGTAGAAATAGTATTGTAACACTGGCAGAAATAATGCTATTTTTAGAAACAGTACTGCTTGCAGGTTTTAGAATTGAAACTGGTAAGTATAATTTTATGAATTTGCTGGTAACATTGCTACAACAGAAGAACCACTTAACCCTAACAGAATGACAGAATAATTAGTGGAAGCTACAATTTGGATAGAAAATATCTGCAATGGGGAATGAAAGGTCACACTTCCAGTTAAAAGAAATCCTTCCTAGACCCTCTGTTTTGTGGAGCAGTGATGACGTAAGTATTCGAATGTGGTTTACTTCAAGTGTGTCATCGTAACAAGAGCGAGAACAGCAGAAAACAAATCTTTAATAACCTGATACACTCAGTTCGCCCAAACATGTTTAATTAGTGATGAATTATTCTCCCTAGTGCTGAAAACGATCAAGATCTTCGACAAATCAGCGTTCGAAGTTTTAGTTTTGTGTTAGATCTGATATTAGAGCCTCACTTGACATATTCCAAGAACCAATCTCCTAGTACATTTAAGATTTATATAAAGCTTTAAATGAATGCTTGCTCATATAGGCTATTAGTGTCAGGAAGTCAAAGTGACAGAACACCAAGTGCGTGTTACATTATTCCTCAATACCATCTAAGAACAAAAGAAGTACTTTATTACGTTGTTTAACAGAGTTTGTTTTATTATAAGTAACAAATATAAACACCATACACATAGAAAATATTGTACAAAACAAAAACAAAAAATGTTCCCCTTAGCAGCTGTTTTGGCTTAACAACCAGACCACAGAACCCGAGGTTCATGTATTGCCATTCATAATTTAGGAGTGTTAACCAGAGGGAGAGAAATCAGTTAGTTGATAGCGTACACGGATACTCTTAATCGAAGCGTGTTTGGAAGCACCGGGTTTCAAACCCGAGAACATCGAATCCTCAGTTTGATACTTTAACCATGTTTGGGCCTTGCAAAACTGTTTGTCGAATTACGATTGATAATTGGATCTGAAAAATCATTCAGGGCTGATTCCAAGGAAACATTTCGTTAAAGGAAAACTTTTTTTTTCTGCAGGTACAAAACGCATCAGGATATGTGTGAGATCAGCGACCAATCTAAGCCCTCAGGTGGTTCAGTTCAACATATGAATTCTGAATCAGGCCAAGAATGATCAAATCTGCTGTTGCACTGGCAATAGGAAAAATTTCTAATTGCATTATTTTAACTTTTCATGACAACAATTATATTAATCTTCAAGAGATAGTGATTAAGTATGTATATGAAAAATTATAGTTGGTGGAAAGTAAAGTTCCATTTTACTTTTTAATTATCGTTTTTCAGATTGGGTTTTTGATACTTTGGTTGCAATAAGAGACAAAACTTTTTAAAGTTTCTGTTGTTTTTTTCTCCTAGTGATCACCGCCGTCCTGCTTGTCAGCGGAGCTAGGAGTTTCATATTATCGAGGAGTCACACAGAAAGTCAGAGGTAAGAACCAGCCATCTATGTCCAATAATGCAGAGCATCAACAGACAGAAACCAGTGTAAGGTATTTTAAAACAAATCTCTTTCTTCTGTGACTTCTACCACATCATCATTTTGTGTGGCTCAGCACAGCTTTGAAAACTGTCCCAAAGTTGAACCACAGCTTGATCTGATCAGAATCCAGTTGACCTCACCATCTAGTGATCGATAAAACTACATAATATTCGATAGCTCTAGCTTCACAGTATATTAAAAACACTAGAATAACAGTTCCCAGTTCACTGTTTCTTTACACTTTCAAATGTTCTGTATAACATGAATCATGTTTGTAAATGTGCGTAAAAACCACTTCAAAAACAGAAACAACTAGGGAATGTCTATCTGCACTTCAGTAAGTTTATATAGAACTTGCTAAGTAAAATTTAGAGAACGTGATCTTTCGTGGACCAGATTCTGAATAGTTTAAGCTGGAGAATGATCATTTAAGACACTTTTGTTCGTAAAATTTATAAAATAATAGTTTTGGACCCCTAATATTTTTCACTCGTTGAATCTACAAATTAAATATATGCAAGATAGTAAGATAAGCAAAGATAAGGTAAGTAACTAGAAGATATTAAGATAAACAACGTATAAGACAGTAATATAAACCAAGTAAAATACATAAATTAAACAAGGTAGAAGAATTTAGCTTGTCGCTATATAATTAACTATTTCATACAAATGTTATAAATGAATAAAAAGCAGCAGAAAACCATAAACTACAGTATTTATTTAGTCAAGCGTTTCTATTTTTGATATTTAATGTGATAAACATTAACTGATTTCAGGAACTCTCTTCACAGTCTGAACTCTAGATCTTGGTGACACGGGTTTTGGGGAACTTTCTTCAGATCATGTTTTTCAGAGAATGTCCTAAACAAAATGTCATCTAATAATCAATTAATTAAATACGTTGCTGTTCGTGTCTACCGGTGATCGCTAGTATGACAATCCCTTTAAAATTAAAATCAACTCATTTCTTTCCTTGTTTTCCAATATCAGGACAGTACTTAACGTAAGCCTAATGTCACTTAAGATGAAGAGCGTAATACACGGTAGCTATCATTCTTTGTAGGTTGATCTCACGCTAAACTTGCCATCCCTTGTGTCTAACATTTCCACCCAGCAGCCGCAGATCTGAGAAGAATCTCAAAGAACCTCTATATTTAAAGTATGGTGGCGTTTTCAACCTACTGGAAAATAACAAACCAATGTCAATGAACTTACGACTGGTGGTAAAAGCATTCATCTAATGTAGTATTTGTATATCAGTAGATGATTAAAAGCTTGTTGTAAGAAGTAAGAGGATATCTTGTGTAATGTAGAATTTAAAACACAACTTAACAAAATGTATCGGGTTCCTTGTCCGTCAATATACACTTCAGAAAAGATTTTTTCTCTTACAGAAAATATTTACCGTAAAAAAACAAAAAAAAAACATTTAGTCTTTTTTGTTGTTGTTTTCAGCCGTTAACGAGTGAACGCTTTTAATATATTTCTCTACTCAAGCTCCATTCTTGTGTTAACGCACTTACAAAGTGTCTTTGTTATCTAAGGTTATTCATTTTGTATTAACGCCCTTACAAAGTGTCTGTGTTAACTAATGTTATTCATTTCTCTATTCAAGCTCTATTCTTGTGTTAACGCACTTACTAAGTGCCTGTGTTAACGAATGTTGTTTATTTTGTATTAACGCCCTCACAAAGTGTCCGTTTTAAATAATGTTAGTCATTTCTCTACTCAAGCTCCATTCTTGTGTTAACACCCTGTGTTAGGTTGTATTGGAAACCCTTCTAGGTGAAGTTGCTGCACGGAAAGATTAATTTTCTGAGACCCAGAAAAATATGATTTAAGATAATCACACAATCTATGCGAGTTATGCGTAATCAGTATGTTAGATTTTGCAATACCCTCTGTAAGGATAAAGCAATACAAGCTTACACACGCCCTTGAGTAAACACTTAGAACAACGTTCAGTTATGTATGTTTGTGTGTTTTTCTTATACGAAAGCCACATCGGGCTATCTGCTGTGTCCACCGAGGGAATCGAATCCCTCATTTTAACGTTGTAAATCCATAGACTTACCACTGTCCCAGCGGGGGACCTTTCAGTTATTATGTAAGAATACCAGTATAAAACTGTCTGTATTCTCATAGTTAGTTAATCATGAAGGTACCTTTTTTTTTTGCTTTGTTCTTGGCTTTAGCCTAGGATAAATAGCTATGGCGTAAGAACTTTAGACGATGATAAGTCGCATACTGTTATAACATTAAATTCTAGACACAGGATAATTGATCTGTTATGTCACGGACTTTTTTTTGTCTGTGATAAGTGGCTGTGATATCATTTATGCTTTTGTTGAAATTTTCAAGTTGAAAACGAACCTTTATGTTGTAGTTCATGTCGTGAAATCCTTGTCCAAGAAGATTCACGGAAATCTTAAAACTTCTGCACGAACTAACAAATCCTTTTCACTGGCAGTTTCAAGTTCTCCTTATGTCACTAAAAGCCATTTAGTTAGATGTGTGTGGAATGAACATACATTAATTTTGTATGTATACATAACTGATCTTTAGGTTATAAAAACAACGAAAAACCTCCAACGTTAACGATTATAAAAGCTGGAGCTACAAGTCAAAGAAAGCTACAAGTCAAAGAAACGACAGTTCATTCTCTGACTCTCAACTGGATTATGACCGTGTCAAGTGGGGTCAGACTCTCACGTGGACTTAGTTTCAAATAACTGGCTCTTAAAGTTTTGAAAACAAAACACAAGTGCTGAACTAAAACGTGAGTATCTTGGAACAATCCATGAAAATTATGAACTCACAAATGGCAATTTCTCTCTGATGCAAACATCACCTTGTCACTCGTTTTACATTCTCATTGTGTGGTCTGATGGAACTACCTTGTCACTCGTTTTACAATCTCATTGTGTGGTCTAATGGAAATCAACGAAGAGCAGACAGATCGAGTAGTAACGAGAACTTTTGAAGGACGTGTGTCAAGAATTGGTATGACGTACTTTACAGAAATTTATATACTTCTGCATAAATTTCCTTTGGTCGTGACTTCAATCTTGCCATCCCACCACATTGGAGCAGGTTTTTTTTTTCATTATCTTAAAATTCAATTCTCCTTTAGTTTTCAGTTTTATTGAATTTAGAACTTAAAATCCAATTCAAGGTGCCCAAAAAGCTTTAAAATAAATGTTATCAGAAGAGTCCAGACATGTCTAAAAACTGACTTTAAGGGATACAAGGAAGTAGGTTCCATTTTGTTTAAGGTTACATCTAAGAAAATAGTCATGTTTCAGGGTAGAAGAACATAATGTTTTTGTGTTAGTTTCCAGTTAGTTGTATAAAAGGTGTTTCTTGTTCTGGCACCTATGAAACACATTAGATATTCCATGAAGGAGCACGTTCTCTAAAGGAGAGTATTGTATCTTTGCAGTTTCGATAAATTTTACAAATACTGGGTCATTTCAATGGCTGATTTAATAATGGAGCGAAAAAGGTAAGGTTTTTCTAAGGTTTGAATCTTTTCTTTTCAACACAGAAGACGTGGAAAAAAAATGAGTTGTAGTGAATCATATTCTCGAGAGAAAGTCACGAGTTACAATTCAGCAACTATGAATCTTCAAGTCTGATGCATATTCATAACAGACACCTGATGCTCTCTGAATTCTAGGTTTTACAAGGCTTTACACATCTCGCAGGATTATAATAATTCTCATAAATTCATGGAGTTACAATATTTGTCATGTGTCACGGGATTACAATATTTCACAGGATTCTCTTGGCTATAATATTTCTTTGGATCCACTGGGTTATAATTTTGCTCGGGATTCATGGGGTTAAAATACTTTTCAGGATTCGAGGCTTATAATACTTTACAGACATCGCAAGGTTACAATGCCTCTCTGGATTCATAAGGCTTTACAATGCATCCCGAACTATCATACACTTATATATTTGAAATGGATAAAGCTTCATTATAGAATACAATGATCCAGAGTACCCCAACAACAGCTAAAAAATACTGATTCACCTTATTATGTAAAAAAGTCCAGATTTATACTAAGAAAACTTGATTTTTATTCCAACATTAAGATGCCTAGTGGCTCAGCAGGAAGCCTAACGGCTGATAACCCTCAAGATAGCTTATTGTGTAGCTATGTGTTTAACAACAAAGAATCAAACAAAATGATACAAAAATAATTTAATTCGGTTGTCAAGTGTGTGAGTTGAGCTATGTTAAGTGCAGCGATCTTCGTGTAACATAAGTATTTATATTAATGCCCTAATGTCACACCAATTCAACGCCATCTTCTTTACACTTAGTGAGCAAGCAGAGTTGGTTCGTTGACTGCGAAAATGTTAGAGGTGTTTTTTTTAGTTTCACCTATTTTTAAAGGTCACATGCTTCAGCGTGCTATCGCCGAATCACAGTTTATATGAAACTATTGGGGAAGTGCTACAAGTTGTGAGCAGTAACGTCATCATTCATCGTGACGAATAAGCACCTGATGTTTGAACTGCTATGACCTATGATGTCTAACTCATCCTGAAGAAACGCTATTCAGGTTATAAGAATCGGATATTATATTATTGAAACATCTAGAGATAAACATTATATACCATCTTAAAATCTGAAACATGTAATTATTAATATTTATAGAAGAAAACTTAGTTTGATGTTTTTGTTTTATTTTTCACCAAATAAATAGAAAATGATGTTATAGAGTTTACAGGATTTCCTTGTCAAGATATCAACCATCAGACGCTGTAACAAATATCACCTGAATTTGTGATATGTGTGCTATTAGTATCTATGGCATGTATCATTAGAATATGCGACACACACCATTAGAATCTGTGACATATAAACTCATAATCTGCGGCAAATATAATCAGGATCTGCCCTTCACACTCTCAGAATCCAGAACATATAACCATCA